GGAGCAAGGAACTGGGGTGGAAGAAATAGGAGAGGAAGGGAGAGGTAAATATAGAGACTTCTCAACACAATGTATGGAACCTATTTGGATCTTAATCAAACAAATGGTTTGAAAAATAAAAAGGTAATCACAGAAATAGTCCTAGAAATTTTAATGATAACTACATAGTAAGAAATTATAAACTTTTAAAATTGTGATAATGGTATTATAATTTTTTAAAAAAATTCCTGCCTTTTAGCTGAAATAGTATGGATGCAATCCAGAGGTGGCAATGCTGACAGAGAAACAGGACTGGCTAAGAAGAAATAATTGCTGAAGATGGTGAGGGTACATAGAAGTTCACTGTACTGAACTGAAAAAACAAACAACCGCCGAAATTGGTTTGGTTCAGTGGATAGAGAGTCGGCCTGCGGACTGAAAGGTCCTGGGTTCGATTCTGGTCAAGGGCATGTACCTTGGTTGCGGGCATATCCCCAGAAGGGGGTGTGCAAGAGGCAGCTGATCGATGTTTCTCTCTCATTGATATTTCTAACTCTCTGTCCCTCTGTCTTCCTCTCTGTCAAAAAATCAATAAAATATATTTAAAATAAAACAAAACAAAAAACAACAAACAAACAACAACTAAACTCCTATGAGGGCACAACAACTATACTCATCTAAACTCCTATGAGGATGAGTGCTGGGCACTCAGGTGGAGAGAAGCAAGATGAAGTTCAGTCCAAGTAGACTTGCCATCACAAATCCTGGGTCCTATGCCAGCCTTGTTAGATCCTAGCTGTATGACCTTGGGCTTACCAAAAAAAAAAGAAAGAAAGAAAGAAAGAAAAATAGTAGATCAGGGAAGTAGTTGGTACTATGGAAGCATGTAGACTGTGGAGTCAGAACTCCTTGGCTCCAATCCTGGCTCTGCCACTAAGCATAGGATGTCTGATGAAGCTCTTTGAGCCCCAGTATCTTCTTCCAAAAATAGAAAGTAGCATCCACCTAAGAGGTGATGGTCAAAAGATTCTGTGTAGGCCCTTTGCAGTCCCTGTGCATGGAAAATAGTGAGTGGTAGTGAAGGTTATGACTGATACCCCGGTGAAGCCATAGAGCTGTACCTTGGAGCCGTTCAAGATATAGTGTTTCTTATCTTCACTTAGAGAGGCTCTAGTCCGGATGGAGGCAGCATCGCTCCCACTGTAGGGACAGAAACAGGCTGTTGAGGAAAGTAATGCTGAAAATCAGTAAGAATGGTTTGGAAGGCCCCAAAATAAAGGTTTTACTTTAATACAGGAGTTTTTAAAATACAGGGCCAGATTATAAATACATTAAGCTTTTCAGGCTATAGGATACCTGTCCTAATCCTCAATTCTGCACCTGTGGCATAAAGGTAGCCAAAGACAATTTGTAAACAAGCAGACATGTTCCAATAACACTTTGCTTACAAGGACATGTACCTGGGTGGCAGGTTCGATACGCGGCCCTAGTCAGGAGGCAACCAATAGATGTGTCTGCTTCACATCAATGTTTCACTATCTCTCTTATCCTCTCTCCTCCTCCCTCATTCCTTCCCACTCTAAAATTCAATGGAAAAAATATCCTTGGATAAGGATTTATAAGAAAAACAGGTGGCTAACTCCTATTTTTTCACTTCAGATAAGAAAGTAGCAGTGAAAAAGAGTGGGCTTAGGTTTAAACATGAAAATGTGTGCTCAAAAATACTCATCTAAACTCCTATGAGGATGAGTGCTGGGCACTCAGGTGGAGAGAAGCAAGATGAAGTTCAGTCCAAGTAGACTTGCCATCACAAATCCTGGGTACTATGCCAGCCTTGTTAGATCCTAGCTGTATGACCTTGGGCTTATCATAAATCTCACTGAACCTCAGTTCCTAATCTGCAAAACAGGGACATTACCACCCACCTTCCATACTCTGACAGTTGCTATGAAGCCTTGAAAGCAGGTGTTGCAAACCACAAAATAATTATTTAACAAGTGCTGTTAGATATGTTAGCTCACTTATAACTCTCACTGGGAGAGAAAAATAAAGGCAAGAAAATTGGCAAGAAACGTTACTGAGTTGACTCTTGGAAAAATACGGAGAAAGAAGAATAAAAGTCACCATCTATTCAGCAAAAACCACAGCCCCCCTCCCAGTGCACCCTGGAAGATGCTGTTCCAGGGCAGCTCATGCCAAGTGGACCTGGCTGGCTCCGTCAGGCAGAAGGCAGCAATGTGTTCTCCTGATGCCAGTTTGGGCAGATATTTGGCCTTCTGCTCTTCACTGCCGGCCAAGATGATCCCCTAAACAAGACACACAGGCTGATTTCAGCTTTGGAGAGAGAAGGCTGTAGAATAGGTAATCCTTACTTCATGCAAAAGGAAACCCCGAGTCAGGTAAAAAGTGGAAAACCAGACTGCAAAGGACCTTCCTTAAAGTGCACACTCCAGAGGGGCTTGGGTCTGAGGCCCAGCAGAGCTTTGGGGTCAGATTCAGGGAATTTCATTATAGCCCTTGTGTCCTGGCTGGGTGATCTTCGGTAAGGGATGTCCCCTCTCTAGCTCCCATCTCCTCACCCACACCTAGGGGATAATTCTACCCACTGGAGGGATGATTTGGATTAAAAAAAAAATGTGAAGAGGTGGGAATGCTAGAGCCATACCTGGCATAAAGTCAATGTCAGAACTGTCCCACCCCCTTTTTGGTGCTGAGTGTGCAAGTCCACTCTTCCCACTGAGAGACTGCATATAGTACACACGACCTCAGAGTGAGGGAGCCAAACAGGCTGTGCACTCAGCTCACTGTGGTGTCTAGATTGAGCAAAACAACCAAAGTAATTGGATTGTTGATAAGAGTGGTATGACCTTGGACCTGCCATAAAATGTTCTGAGCCCAGTGGGGTGAGGAAGACCAACAGCAGGAAGGACCTGTTCAGACCCCAAGTGAGTGCTCAAGAGCTCAGTGGGGGAGGTTCACATCCAGTCTGAGGTGAAGACAGGCTCCGCGAGGTAGCAGCATCACAACTGGACTGCCAAAGGGCAGGTCACAGGCAATGGGGATAAGAGGAAGATTCAAAGGAAAGGAACAGTGCAAAGAGCCACTGCTTGTGCAGGGCTGAGCACTATCCAGGAGGGCTGAGAGTGGGTGTGCACAAATGAGACACTGCAAGGCGAGGATGCAGGCGCAGGCTGGGCCCTCCTCCCAGACATTGAGACAGCAAGCACGATTCACTTCCTAGGTCTTCTGGAGTCACAGAAAGCATCCCCAGATACTTGACCTTGAGGCCGATGGCCTGGTGTGCTGCCAGGGTCACAGCGATTGACCCATCCAGGCTGACAATCTCCCCTAGCCTTGCATACATGGTGTTGGAGAGGCCCAGGCCGCCTAGAGGAGAAACAGACCAGTTTTACTTATAGTCCAGCCCTAAAACCCTCCCATTAAAGGCAAATGGCTTTATTGGTCCTTTCTGATTATAAAAGAACTAGAGGCCGGGTGCATGAAAATTCATGCATTAGAAGGGGGCGTCCCTCAGCCCTGCCTGGCCCCTCTCATAGTCCAGGAGCCCTCAGGGGTAGGAGGCAACCCAGCAATCAGGGGAATGTGACATCCCCATCACACCTCTGTTGCTGCCACTGCCAGCAGTGCTAGCCTCAGCTGGCCCTGGTTACCTGAGCCTCAGGTGGCCACTAGGTGTTTGGGCATCCACCATCCAAGGCTCGCCTGCGCCTTGGGCCAGCCCTGGGTAGCTGGGGGGCTGAGGGAGCATCCAGCCACACCGTGCGCCTGCCGCCCCCTGGCTGGGCTGAGGGGACTGGGTGCCACCATTTTGTGATGGCATAAAAGTCAATTTGCATATTCCCTCTTTATTAGATAGGATGGCATATCACCATTTAAAAAAAAAATCACAATACAGAAAGGTGCAAAGAAAACAAAAGTCACTTATAAACATCACTCAACATTTTTGTGTATATCCTGTCAGACTTTTTCTAGGCATATGAGCATATATAGATTTATTTTTAACATAGAAGAATAATTTATAATACAAAAATATAAAAATACTAGAGGACCGGTGCATGAAAATTTATGCACTGGAGAGGGTTCCCTCAGTCCAGCCTGCCCCCCCCCCCCCCACCCCAGTCTGGGAGCCCTCAGGGGCGGGAGGCGACCTGGTGATCAGGGGATGGCGATACCCCCATCATACCTCTGCTGCTGCCACTGCCGGCAGCACAAGTCTCAGCCAGCCCTGGTTGCTTGAGCCTAAGGCAGCCCTGGACAGCTGCACAGCCTCCATCTGAGGCTTGCCTGTACCTCAAGCCGGCCCTAGGCAGCTGAGGGGCTGAAGGGACTGGGGGATTCTAGAGGCAGGTATGTGGAACAGTTGGATCTGCCTGGGGGTGGGCCTGGCCATGCTGTGTACCTGCCGCTTCGGCAGGGCTGAGGGGGCTGGATGCCGCCATCTTGTGGCTGTGGGTGCTGCCATATTTGATGGTGTGACAGTCAGTTAGCATATTCCCTCCTTATTGGCTGTGGGCACTGTCATCTTTGTGACAGAGTGATGGTCAATTAGCATATTCCCTCTTTATTAGTTAGGATCCTTACATTACATCATTTAATATGTTGTGAATATTTCCTGTCAGATATAGATCTTTGTGAATGAAAGAGCTTTCCAGCACCTCATTCCAGGGTCCAGTGGACTCCAGGACAGAGATTATTCTGTGTGGTAACATTAACATTTTAGGATGGATCATTCTTTGTTGCAGGGACTGTCCTGTGCACTGTAGGATGTTTAACAGCATTCTTGGCCTCCACCCACTAGATGCCAGAAGTCCCCTCTCTACAATTTAAAAACAAAAAATTCTCTAGACATTATCCAATGTCTCCTGAAGGACAAAATCACCTAGTTGGGAATCATTATTCTGCAGTAAAAAGACAAAGATTAAAAAACAAAAACAAAAACTTCACTGAACTTACATATTTGGCATTTCATCTTCAACTTCCACAGGTGGCTGGGTTACCACATGTGCATCTTACAAATGATAAACTGAGGCCTAAGGTCATGTGCCCAAAATGTAGGAGGGCTGGGGAACTGTCACCGGAGCCACCATTCACACACAAAGGGAGGACTGAGTTCCTGCAGAGATGTGGACTGGCCCTGTCTGGTGTGTAGTCCATGGGTTCAATGGAGGCACCCGAAAGGCCAAAGCTCTGCAGTACCACTTCCCTCCTTTCCACTTGTTTCAATCAAAACACTTTTACTTATTTCATACTAGAGGCCCAGTCCCTCAACCTGGTCTGCACCCTCTACTATCTGGGACCCCTCGGGGGATGTCCAAACCAGCAGTCAGACATCCCTCTCACAATCCGGGACCACTGCCTCCTAACCACTCATCTGCCTGTCTGCCCGATTGCCCTAACTGCTTCTGCCTGTCTGCCGGATTGCCCCTAATGGATTTTGCCTGCCAGCCTGATCGCCCCCTAACTGCTCCCCTGCCGAACTGATCACCCCTACTGCCCTCCCCTGCCAGCCCGATCGCCCCCAACTGCCTTCCCCTGCCAACCCAATCACCCCTAACTGCCCTCCCCTGCAGGCCTGGTTGCCCCCCACTGCCCTCCCTTGCTGGTCTGATCGCCCCCAACCACCACCCCACTGCCCTCCCCTGCTGGTCTGATCCCCTGCTGGTCTGATCGCCCCCAACCACCCTTCCCTGCAGGCCTGATTGCCCGCAACTTCCCTCCTCTGCCACGACCGACTCCTCTACGTGAGATGGTGGAGATACTGGGATTGGCCTCTTCCGTGCCACACAGAGCTGAGGGACCCAGGCCTCACTGTGCAGAGCAGCCATCGGGCCCCACCTCCACTGTGCATACAGCTATCTTATGATGGCCATCTTGTGGTGGCCTTTTTGTAATGACATTGCACAAGGGCATGATGCCACCTAGGCTTTTATTATATAGGAATAGAGGCACAGAAGTGGAGTGGGGAGGTGTCCCTCAGCCCAGCCTGCACTCTCTCCAATCAGACCCCTCGAGGGATGTCCGACTGCCCATTTAGGCCTGATCCCACTGGGCCTAAATCCCTCTCACAATCCAGGACTGCTGGCTCCCAACTGCTCACCTGCCTGCCTTCCTGATTGCCCCTAACCACTTCTGCCTGCCAGCCTGATCACCCTCTACCACTTCCATACCAGCCTGTTTGCCCCCAACTTCCCTCCTCTGCTGGCCTGGTTACCCCTAACTGCCCTCCCCTGCAGGGTTGATTGCCTCCAACTGCCCTTCCTTGAAGGCCTGGTCCCTCCCAACTCCCCTTCCCTGCAGGGTTGATCGCCTCCAACTGCCCTTCCCTGCTGGCCATCTTGTGGTGGCCATCTTGTGTCCACATGGGGGCAGGATCTTTGACCACATGGGGGCACCCATCTTGTGTGTTGGAGTGATGGTCAATCTGCACATTACTCTTTTATTAGTTAGGATAGAGGCCTGGGGCACGGGTGGGGGCTAGCTGGTTTGCCCTGGATCAGGGTGGGGATTCCCTTGGGGCGTGGGATGGCCTGAGCGATGGTCCCTGTGGTGGTTTGCAGGCTGGTAATGCCCCCTGGGCACCCAAGTGGAGGCCCTGGTATCTGGAATTTGTTTACCTTCTACAATTGAAACTTTGTAGCCTGGAGTGGAGGCCTAGGCCAGCAAGGACAGGCGAAAAGCTAGGCTTCCTTCATTGCCAGGGAAACCTAAGCCTCTCTCTTGCTCCCTGTGGCTGTAGCCATCTTGGTTGGGTTTATCTGCATACTCGCTCTGATTGGCTTGTGGGTGTAGCGGAGTGATGGTTAATTTGCATATTACTCTTTTATTAGGTAGGATACTGAGGGAATCAGTTTTGTTAGTTAAAGAAATAAATTCCAATGCTCCCCTCCACCCCAGGAAAGTTATCACTAAAATAATGGGAATAGCAAGGGGGAGTGAGGGACTATCTCCTTTACTTACCATATTCTTCTGGGACTTGCATCCCAAAAAGCCCCAGGCTCTTCAGTTTCTCCAATGTTTCTGTTGGGATTTTTCCCTCTTGGTCAATTTTTCGAGAGTCCACTGCCAAGAAGAAATATCTTGATTAAACAAAATATGTTTATAAAAATAAACAGGCCAAATTTTTGTATAGTATACAATCCCAGTTTCAAAAACTTTAAAACTGGAAATTATTTAGTCACGGTCATTTAGCATGCTTTCAATTTTACCTAATTATATCAGACAGAACTGTATTTTAGAAAATTACCAATACCAGGTTATACTGTTTCTTAATCTGGGTGCTATTCACATGGCAATGGCTGCACAACATTGTAAACATACTTAATACCACTGAATTGTATACTTAACAAGGATTAAAATGTAAGTTTTATGTTATGCATATTTTACCACATTAGAAAAAAAGAATAGCAAGGCATTTAAGGTTTATGATGAATGCAGAAATAAAATGTATGAAACAGCACTTAGGCCCGGAAAACAAAAATGTTGTAATGCTCTTACATGAGACATGAAGTGAAATGCTGGTAATATTGGTAAGACATGTACTATAAACTCTAAAGCAACCACTGAAAAACAAAAGGTATTACTAATAAACCAACAAGAGATAAGGTGGAATAAAAAACACACTATTAATACAAAAGAAGACAGAAAAAAAGAAAAAGAATAAGAGGAACAAAGAAGAGATGGGACAAATAAAAAAAAATAGCTAGATGATAGAGTTAAACCCAACTATATCAATAATAATCTATATTAATAAAAAGGTAATATGCTAATTATACCGGACATCCTTCTGGATGTCCTTCCAGACAAAGTCACAGTGGCAGGGATCAAGTCAGAGGTGGTTAGGGGCGACTAGGCCGACAGGGGAGAGCAGTTAGGGGTGATCAGTCAAGCAGGGGAGGATGGTTAGGGATGATCAAACCAGCAAGGGAAAGGAGTTAGGGGAGATCAGGCAGGCAGGCAGATAAAGGGTTAGGAGCCAGGGGTTCTGGATTGGAGTGGGTGCAGGCCGGCCTGAGGGGAAACACCCCCCCCCTCCCATGACGAGTTTTGTGCACCAGGCTTCCAGTATTAAAATAACCATATATCAAAGATCAATGAAAAGGCACAGATTGGCCGAAACCCGTTTGGCTCAGTGGATAGAGCGTTGGTCTGCGGACTGAGGGGTCCCAGGTTTGATTCCGGTCAAGGGCATGTACATTGGTTGCGGGCACATCCCCAGTAAGGGGTGTGCAGGAAGCAGCTGGTTGATATTTCTCTCTCATCGATGTTTCTAGCTCTCTATCCCTCTCCCTTCCTTTCTATAAAAAAATCAATAAAATATATATATATTTTTTTTTTTAAAGAAAAAGAAGGGGGAAAAAAAGAAAAGGCACAGATTGTCAGACTGGATTTTAAAAGACAACATTCAACTATGTTGCCCTGTAACAGATATACTTTATTTTTATTGTATACCTTTATTTCTAAATAATATCAAATTTAAAGAAAAGTTGCAAAAATACTGTGTTTCCCCCAAAATAATACATCCTCCAAAAATAAGACCTAGCGCATGGAAAGATAAGACATCCCCTGAAAATAAGACCTAGCGCAACTTTGGGAGAAAAAATTAATATAAGACACTCTTATTTTTGGGGAAACAGGGTAGTATAGAGTTTCTGTATACTCTTGACCCAATTTCTCCTAACACAACCTTATAGAACTACAATAAATTACCAAAATTAGGACACTGACATTCATATACTATTATTTAGTAAATTACAGAATTAATTTGAGTTTCATCAGTTTTTCTATTAACCTGTTAACTGGGAGTTCCCTTTTTAATTACACAACGTACAACGGGCGCATACTCTTTCACTAGGACGTGTCAGTATGTCACACCCAGCGGACGTAATTTTATATTATTATTTTTTTAATTTATACTTAATTAAAATAAATGAAATATATATTTTTTCGTTTATTTATATATAAAGCACAAAGGAAAATACAAAATTACAAACAAATAGAAAAGAATACCAACAAAAAAATGGAAACATCGAATTAAAAAATTACAAATTTTACAAACAATTATAAAGATTACAGCGGAAGCCGATTTGGCTCAGCGGTAGAGCGTAGGTCTGCGGAGTGAAAGGTCCCAGGTTCGATTCCAGCCAAGGGCACGTACATTGGTTTCGGGCACATCCCCGGTAGGGGGTGTGCAAGAGGCAGCTGGTCGATGTTTCTCTCTCATCGACGTTCCTAGCTCTCTCTCTCTCTCCCTTCCTTTAAGAAAATCAATAAAATATATTAAAAAAAAAAGATTACAAAAAATATATACCGTCCCTCTCAGGGCGCAACATATATTTCAAGGACGTATTCATATGTCCTACCCATTCCCGATAGTGTTTATGTTTGACGTATTTATAGGTCCCGCTCGGTTAACAGGTTAATGTCTTTTTCTGTTCTAGGATCCAATCCAGGATCCCACACTGTATTTAGTTGTTATGTCTCTTTAGAATCTTTCGGTCTGTGATGGTTCTTCTTCAGTCTTGTGTTTTATGACTTTGACATTTAAAGCACTATTCCTTTGTACAAATTTGGGTTTGCCTGTTTCCCAATGATTAGATCAATGTTATGTGACTTGGGAAAGAAGACCACAGAGGTGATGTGCCCTTTTCAGTGTATTATATCAGAGGGTACAAGATATCACTAAGTCTTATAATTGGTGACACTAACTTGATCACCTGTTTAAGGTGGTGCTTGCCAAAATTCTCTACATATAAAGTTACTTTCCCATCCAGTCAGCGTGGCTCAGTGGCTGAGCACTGACCTATGAACCAGGAATCACGGTTCAATTCCCGTTAAAGGGCATATGCTAGGATTGTGGATTTAATCTGCAGTGTGGGGTGTGCAGGAGGGAGCCAATCAATGATTCTCTCTCATCACTGACTGTCCCACTCCTTTGTTCTCTAAAATCATAAAAATATATATTAAAAATATAGTTATTCTCCCTTTGTAATTAATAAATATCACAGGGAGACCAGCCATTTTGATTCAGTGGTTGAGCATCAATGTATGAACTAGTAGGTCACAGTTCAATTCCTAGTCAGGGCACATACCTAGGTTGTGGGCTTCGTCCCCAGTGGGGGGCATTTAGGAGTCAGCCAATCAATAATTCTTTCTCATCATTGATGTTTCTATTTCTATCTCTCTCTCCCTTTCCCTTACCCTCTGAAATAAATAAAAATATATTTAATAAATGTCACAGGAGAACTACTTTGCAATTATATAAACAAACTGTCTCTCAAACTTTCACCCATTCGTGTTTTACTAAAGTGAGTGCTTCATGGTAATTTGTTGTTGTTGTTGTTGTTGTTGTTAATCCTCACCCAAGTATATTTTTCCATTGATTTATAGAGAGTAGAAGGGAAGGGAGAGACAAAAAGAGAGAAACATCAATGTGAGAGAGACACCACTGACTGGTCGCCTCCTGCACAGACCTGAACTGAGGCATGTGCCCTTAACCATAATCAAACCCAGGACCCTCTAGCCACTGTGCCAAACTGGCTAGGGCATTATGGTAATTTTGTATTCCAAAATTCCAGCTATTTTTATTAAGTAAGGAAGAAACCCACTTTGCATATAAAAACACATATCAGTCAAGAGGATGAAAAAAGACATATCATGCTAATACTAATCCAAAGACAGCTGTAGTTGCCATATTAACATCAGACAAAGCAGGTTTTTAAGCAAAGACTATTACCAGGGATAAGGCAGGTCATAATTATAAAGTGATCTACTCATCATCCTATATAATAAAGAGCTAATATGCAAATGATTGTCACACCTTCATATAATGGCTCAAATATTCAACATGGGGGAGAAAGGAATGGGGACCAGCCAGGCACAAATGAGCTTATAAGAGAGGAATAGGGATTTGCCAGGCACAAATGAGCTTGAGAGAGAGAAATGGGGAGCAGCTAGGCTGCGGCGCAGGAGAGGGACAAGTTGCCTGCTCCGCGGTCTTGGGTGTGGAGCAGGTGACTTGTCCCAGGAGAAGGACAAGCTGCACGCCCCGCTGTCCCAGGTAACAGTGACTGGGGCTGTGGCCCAGGAAGGGGACAATTCGCACGCCCCATGGTCCTGCAGACCTGGGCGCCAGCGGCAGCTCCTGCAGCCCAGGAGAGGTACAAGTTGCCCATCCTGGAGTCCCAGATGCCAGCACCTGCACCTACAGCCCGAGAGAGGGACAAGCTGCCTGCACCGCTGTCCCGAGCACAGGCAGCTGCGGCCTGGGTGAAGACGCCTGCCCACGATCCCCTGAAGTAGTGGCCAGCCCAGGTCCTGGGTACCTGCAGCAGGCCAGAGGAGGGAATCCTGGGTCCTGGGTGTGGGGTGAGGCAGAGGCAGTTAGTGGCAATCAGGCCAGCAGGAGAGCAGTTAAGAGCAATCAGGCAGGCAGACAGGCAAGCGGTTAAAAGCCAGCAGTCCCAGATTCCGAGAGGCAGTCGGACATCACCTGAAGGGTCCCAGATTAGAGAGAGTGCAGGCCGGGCTGAGGGATAACCCCTCCCATGCATGAATTTCATGTACTGGGCTTCTAGTAAGGATATAACAATCCTGAACCTGTACATACCTAAAAACAGAGCTTAAACATCCATGAAGAAAAAACTGATAAAAAAAAAAAAAAGACAACTGTAGTTGGAAGTTTCAACATCCTTCTCTCAATAACTAATAGGAAAAATAGATGAAAATGTGTAATGATGTATTAGATATGAATAAAACTATTAACCAGCCGAGACCGGTTTGGCTCAATGGATAGATTGTCGGCTTGGGGACTGAAGGGTCCCGGGTTTGATTCCGGTCAAGGGCATGTACTTTGGTTGCGGGCATATCCCCAGTATGGGGTGTGCAAGAGGCAGCTGATCGATGACTCTCTCTCATCGATGTTTCTAACTCTATCTCTCTCCCTTCCTCTATGTGAAAAATCAATAAAATATATATATATATATTTTAAAAACAACAACAAAAAACAACAACAAAAACCTATTAACCAATTTGTTCTAATTAATATTTATAGAATACTAAAGGCCTGGTGCATGAAATTCGTGCATGGGGGGACGGGGAATCCCTCAGCCCAGCCTGAACCCTCTCCAATCTGGGACCCTTAGAGGAATGTCTGATTGTCAGACATCCCCCTCACAATCCAGGACTGCTGGCTCCCAATTGCTCGCCTGCCTGCCTTCCTAATTGCCCCTAACTGCTTCTGCCTACCAGCCTGATCACCCCCTAGCCACTCCCCTGCTAGCCTGATTGATGCCTAACTGCTCCTCTGCCAGCCTGATTGCCCCCAACTGCCCACCCCTACAGGTCTGGTCAACCCTAACTGCCCTCCCCTGCAGGCCTGGATTTCCTCCCATCCCCCAACTGCCCTTCCTTACAGGCTTGATTGCCCCCAACTTCCCACTTCTGCTGGCCTGGTCATTCCTAACTATCCTCCCATGAAGGCTTGATCACCCCCAACTGCCCTCCCTTGCAGACCTGGTCCCTCCCTATTGCCTTCCCCTGCTGGCCTAATCACCCACAACTGCCCTCCCTTGCAGGTCTGGTCCAACCCAACTGTCCTCTCCTGCTGGACATCTTGTGGCGGCCATCTTGTGTCCACATGGGGGCAGCCATCTTTGACCACGTGGGGACAGCCATCTTGTGTGTTGGAGTGATGGCCAATTTGCATATTACTTTTATTAGATAGGAGGATAGAGACCTGTTGCATGGGTGGGGGCCAGCTGGTTTGCTCTGAAGGGTGTCCCGAATCAGGATGGGGGTTCCCTTAGGACATGGGGCGGCCTGGTTGAGGAGCAAATGGTGGTTTGCAGGCTGGCCATGTCCGCCTGGCGACCCAAGTGGAGGCCCTAATATCTGAGATTTATTTATCTTCTACAATTGAAACTTTGTAGCCTTCAGCATAGGCCTGGGCTGGCCAGGAGCTTGGCTTCCTCCATCACCAGGAAACCCAAGCCTCCTGCTCACTCTGTGGCCACAGGCATTTTTGTTGGGATTTATTTATCTTCTATAACTGAAACTTTGTAGCTGTGAGCAGATGCCAAGACAGGCCAGGGCTGTGGAAGCCTGGCTTCCTCCCTTGCTGGGGGCAACTCAAGCCTCCTGCTCTCTCCAGCTCTGGCTGCCACCATTTTTGTTGGGATTTATTTATCTTCTATAATTGAAACTTCATAGCCTTGAGTGGAGTCCACAGCCGGCTAGGGTGTGCTGGAAGCTTGGCTTCCTCCATTGCTGGGGAAACCTAACCTTCCTGCTGTCTCTGTGGCCACAGCCATCTTGGTTGGGTTAATTTGCATACACACTCCTGATTGGTTGGTGGGCATGACCTGTGGATACAGTGGAGGTATATTCAATTTGCATATTACTCTTTTATTAAATAGGTTAGCCAAACAACAGAATATTCATTGTTTTCAGGAACACCTGGGAGAACATTTAAAAAAAAAATAGGCCATATTGTGAGCCATAAAACAACTCAAAAATTTTAAGAGGTTTCAAATTATATAAAGTATGTTTCCTGACCACAATGGAATACTTCTTAGAAATAAAAATAGGGATATTACTACAGATCCTACAGACTTTAAAAGGATAACAATGTAAGGGAAGTTATAAACACCAATGAAACAAACTTTGTTAGATGGATAAGTTCTTTAAAAGACACAAACTATCAAAGTTCACAGAGGAAATCAATAACCTGAATAGTCCTGTATCTATCAAAGAAATTAAATTAGTTAAAACTTTCCCTCTAAGAAAATTCCAGGCTCAAATGGCTTCACTGTTGCATTCTGCCTGTCAAGAAAAATATACCAACTTTACATAAAGTCTTTAAAGAAACTTAAAGAGAAAGAAACACTTCCCAACTCATTCTATAAGGCCAGCATTAGCCTGAAAAATAATATCACCGAAAATTAAACTGAGGGACAAATATCCCTCAGAAAAACAAATACAAAAATTCTTAAAATGTCAGCAAACCGAATACAACAAACAAAAAAGGATAATGTATCAAAACTAAGGGGGGAACTCCGGAGTCCTCCTGAGCAGGCGGAGCGGGCAGGAGGGCGGGAGCCACCGATCAGGCGGCAGCGCGGCTGCAGCCTCAGTCTCCCGCCCCGGCTCCCCCGAAGGTGGACGTGCGGCTGCAGCGCCCGGACCTCTGGGCCGGCCTCCACGGCCAGGTCCCGGGGCTGCTGGACTGGGACATGGGCAACGAGTGCTTCCTGGCCTGCAGCACGGTGCACCTGCCCGCGGCCGAGCAGAACCTTGCCAGATACAGACTGCGTGTGGTTGAGCCCCCACCGCGGCCCGTGAGGAAAAGCCCCGCCCCCGATGGAGATGGTCCGGACATCGAGTCCAGCCTGTGGATGTGGGTGAACCCCAACATCGTGTTTCCCCCGGGAAAGCTGGAGGCCTCACAGCCCAGGCCGGGGGACGGCCCGACCAGCACACGTCCCGCCCCTCCGCTGGCCCCGAGAGAGGAAGACTGCGCCCGCTGCCCGGAGGCCGGAGTGGGGGGGCGGTCTCCCCCTCCGGAGCAGCCCCCTGCCCCCAGCAGCTCGGAGGTGGGGGCCTAAGGCTGCAGGCGGTGGGCAACGGGATGATGCATCGCAGAGTTCTGGTGTTCGGGGTCACACAGGGTTAACAGGCTCAGAAACCAGCTGTGCCCTGGGCGGGGACCAGGCCCGATGGTGGCCCTGGCCGCGGAGGAGGCACGGAGTCAGGGCAGCCCCTGCTCTGCCTCTCCAGCTCGCAGAAGAGGAGGCTGGGGGCCAGCACGACAGCTCCTCTGTGGCGCTCCCGTCCCCTCACAACAGGGCCCCCCTCCAGAGTCGGAGGCCCCGGCAAGCCAGCAGCCAGGAGGGGAGGCCCTGGCCCCGGCCCCCGCTCAATTACTTCCACCTCATCGCCCTGGCCCTGAGGAACAGCGCCCCCTGCGGCCTCCACGTGCAGCAGATCTACAGTTTCACCCGGTAGGTGCCTGCGGCCGGCGGAGGGCCCTGGTCTGAAACACCCGCCCGCCCAGCCCGCGCTCCCTCCGCCGTCTGCGCGATCCCAGACTGTGCACCTCCGCCGCTCACACCCGAAACTCGGCTCTTTTACGACTTCGTTCCTTTTAAAAATATATATTTGTATTGGTTCAGAGAGGAAGGGAGAGGGAGAGAAACATCGATGATGAGAGGCCATTGACTGGCTGCCTCCTGCACGCCCCCCAATGGGGATGGAGCCCATAACCTGGGCCTGTGCCCTGACCAGAATCAAACCGTGACCTCCTGGTTGATGCTCAACCCCTGAGCCACGCCGGCCGGGTTTCATCTTAGTTCTTTTTTTTTTTTTTCTTTTTTTTTCACCTTTATTACTTTTTTATTAAATTATTATCTGTGTACATATTTAAAAAAAAAACTAAGGGGGAATAATCTTAGGAATGTAAGAGTAGTTCAACAGTCAAAAGCAACCAATGTAATTTGTCATGTCAACAAAATAAAGAAGAAAAAACACAAGTATCCCAAGAGATGCAGAAAAAGCAATGGGCAAAATTTGACATAATTTATTATGAAAACTCTCAGCAAACTAGGTATAAAAGGAAACTACCTTAATCTAATAAACAGCATATACAAAAAGAAAAGTACAGCTAACATCATATTTAAAGGTAAAAGACTGAATGTCTAAAATCAGGAATAAGGCAAGAAAGTCTGCTTTTACCACTCCCATTCAACATCATACTAGAGGTTTTAGGCACTGCAATAAGACAGAGAAAGCAAAGGGAAACTGGATTAGAAAGCAGGAAATAAAACTGTTGCTATCACCAACAATACAATTGTCTATGTAAAAAATCTGGGATATACCAAAAGAGCTCCTAGAACTATTAATGAGTTTAATAAAGTTGCAGGATACAAGATCAATACACAAAAACCAACTGTATTCACTGAAGAGGGTATATAAAGAGAGGAACAAACACATTATTAGCCATTAGAGAAATGAAAATTTAAATCACATCTATCAGAATGGCTAAAATAAAATAAAAATTTTAAGTACAATGACAACACCAATTTTTGGCAACAGGCACAGAAACTAGATAACTTACATATACACTGTTGGTGGAAATATAAAGTAGTACAGTCATCTAACTAATAAAAGAGTATGATGAGCCAAAACCGGTTTGGCTCAGTGGATTGAGCGTTGGCCTGTGAACTGAAGGGTCCCAGGTTTGATTCCGGTCAAGGGCATGTACCTTGGTTGAGGGCACATCCCTGGTGGGGGGTGTGCAGGAGGCAGCTGATTGATGATTCTCTCTCATTGATATTTCTAACTCTCTGTCCCTCCCTCTTCCTCTCTGTAAAAAATCAATTAAAAAAAAAAAGAGTATGATGCAAATTGTACCTTTGTGATACCCACCAGCCAATCAAGAGTGAGTATGCAAATTAATGCAACCAAGATGGTAGGTTACTTTGCATACACAGGTGCCGAGCAGCCGGGGGAGAAGCAGGATGCTTTGTTGTTGCCATGGTGACAACACAGGCATTCTGCATTGCCCCAGCCGCCCGGGCCTCTGGGCAGCTTGGGAAGGTGGAAAGGTGCCTCTGGCCAAAGCGAAGGTGGTGCCAGCAGCCAGGGGAAGGAAGACCCATTCTTGCATGAATCTTCATGCATTGGGCCTCTGGTTTTGAAAATAATTTGTTTCTTAAAGAAACTAAATACAGATAACCTTAGGACCCAGCGATTGCACTATTGGGCATTTATTCCAGAGAAATAAAAGCACGTCCACACAAAAAATTGCACACAAATATAAACAGCATATGTTTTTTGTTATGTTGTTTTGATTTTTTAAATCCTCACCCAATGATATTTTTTCCACTGATTTTCAGAGTTGGAAGGGAAGAGAGAGAAGCATCAACATGTGAGAGACACATCAACTGGTTGCCTCCAACATGCATCCTGCAGAGTCCAGGGATTGAAGCTATAACCGAGGTACATGACCTTGACTAGGAATTCAACCTGCAACCCTTCAGTGCATGGGCCAACGCTTTAACCACTGAGCAAAACTGGCCAAGGCTACTAAGTAGTTTTATTCATAAGAGACCTCAAAGTGAAAACCACCTAGACATACTTCAACAGTAAGCAAAATGGTAATCCACAGAGTATTATTGAGCAATGAAAAGGAATAAACCATTGGGGCAATTTGTAGGAGAATTATGCTGAGGAAAAAAAAAAAAAAAAGCTAATTCCAAAAGTTTACATACGGTATGGGTCCATTAATATAACACTCTTAAAATAACAAAATTATAAAAATGAAGACAATATTAGTAATTGCCAGAGGTTGGGGGAAAGGAGGGCAAGAAAACTATGGCTATAAAAGAACAGCTTGAGGGATCCTTGTGATATAACTACTTTCTGCACCATGACTGCGGTGGTGAATGTACATGATAAAACTGGGTAAATACACACACACACACACACACACACACACACACAAATCAGCACATTTAAAACTGTTAAGATCTGAATAAGATGGTATTGATATTAATTTCCTGATTATGATTCTGGTTATTTAAGATACATTGCTATAAAGTTATGCATTAGGGAAACAGATTGGGTAAAGGGTATAATTATTCTCTGAATTATTTCGTACAATTCCATGTGAATCTATACTTATCTCAACATAAAGTTATTTTTAAAATATATGCGTATTGATTTCAGAGAAGAAGGGTGAGGGAGAGAAAGATAGAAACAACAATGATGAGAATCACTAATCAGCTGCCTCCGACATGCCCCCCCCTGGGGATCCAGCCTACAACCCAGGCATGGGCCCTGGCTGGGAATTGAACTGTGACCTTCTGGTTCATAGGTCTATATTCAACCACTAAGCAACTCTGGCTGGGCTCAACATAAAGTTTTAAAAGCAAATAAATGTTAACATGTTACATATATTAAACTTAATGGGAATAACCCTGAAGTTACTAACAAAGCCCCAATGAAACACCCACATTTGCTGAAGTCCAACTAAATTGATCTTCATCAAAAACTATAACACAGTGTGTAACATTTTTCTTTCATTTTATTTATACTTCTTAAAAGTTCTTTAATAAATGTGAATTTATTTATTTATTTATTTATTTATTTATTTATTTGCTTAGTCCCTTCACCTTTTCACGTAAAACTCAAAGCCCCATCCTTCTGACAGCTGTCAGTCTGTTTTCTATGTCTATGAATCTGTTTCTATTTTGTTAGCCAAAACAAGAAAACAAACAAAAAAACTGGGGGACAGTACAGGGGAAGGGAGATAAGAGAAGATAATGGGGATACATGGCAAGAGAAGAATACTTCACTTGGGGTAGTGAACACATAGTAAAATATACAGATACCTATGTAACTCTACAACCAATGTGGGGGGGAAAGGCCATTAACATGGATAATGCACAACTTTAGAAATGATAATATTCCTGGGGAGGATAAACACCTGCAGATCATCTATTTAATAAAAGTTATTTTAGCAATTGTGATTTACAAAATATTTCTAAGGCGATTTTCACCTGTCTTTATCAATCTGTGGATATAAATGCAGTCAAAGAAATAAATGTGAATTTCTTTACTAATGAACAAATATAAATTCTTTTTTTATTGTTAATTCTCACCTGATTTCTTACTACTGGTTTTCAGACAGAGTAGAAGAGAGGAGGGGAAAAGAGAGAGAAACACTGATGTGAGAGAAACAAATCAACTGGTTGCCTCCCATACCCATCCTGACTGGGGTGAGGAGCAAAACCAAAATGGAGGTGCTCAGGCCAAGGCTCTAACCACTGGAATACACAAGCCAGGGCAACAAATGTAGATACCAAAGAAAAATTCCAAAAGGGACTAAATGCTCCAATCAAAACACACCGGGTGCCCTAGCTGGTTTAGCACATTGGCCTGTGAACTGAAGGATCGTGGGTTTGATTCTGGCCAAGGGCACATGCCTAGTTTGTGAGCTCAGTACCCAGTAGGGGGCATGTAGAAAGCAGCCAATCAATGATTCTCATCACTGATGTTTCTATCTCTCTCTCCCTCTCCCTTCCTCTCTGGAATCAATACAAAACCCCCCCATGAACAAACAAACGAAGAAACAAAGGCTATGATAAGAAACAAAGCAGGACACTACATAATGACACAAGGATCGGTCCAACACAATATAACCCTTGTAAACATGTGAATTTAAGGTAGGAGCACCTAAATATAAAAACAAACAAACAAACAAAAAAAAACAACACTTGGTGAAATTTAAGGGAGAGATCGACAGCAACACTTGTCCAACCATAGTAAGAGACTTCTTACTGGCTTCAGAGGTAGATCTTCCAGACAAAAATGTCAACAAGAAAACAGCAACTGCAAATACTACACGAGATTAGATGGATTTAATAGATATTTACAGAACATTTCATCCAAAGCAACAGAATATACATTCTTCTCAAGTTGCACATGGGGTATTTTCAAAGATAAAGCATATGATAGGACAAAAAAAAATCTCTACAAGTTCAAGAAGACTGAAATAATATCCAGCATCTTCTCAAATCACAATAGAATTAAATTAGAAATCAACTAGAGACAACGACACTCTCCTAGGACCAAACTGGAAATACAACTAAAATATAGAAAAACCATCCTAAAAATCAACTGAAGACTAGCTGGAAAAAACCCAGATAACTAAGGACAGAAAGTGGAGACCAGCAGGAAGTGTGAAGATGTGAAAGGGGTGGCTGGGCTCCCAAAGACAGCAGCTGAAAGTCCAGGGGGATATCTGAGCTGCAGAGTTCCCACTGAGAACTCTGAGGTCTAAACCCCAAGCTGGGCTCCCCAGTCCAGAGCACCAGAACTGAGAAAAGTGCCCACATTAACACGTGGCTGTAAAAATCAGCAGGTTGCTGTCTGCCAACCAGAGATGGATAGAAATGCAGATGTCCTCTTAAAGGGCCATGACACAAAATTTTAAGTGCAGCCAC